ACAAATTGAAGCTAACACTTCAGTTACAAACAGTTATAGTAACAGTTGTTTTTCTTTTGGAATAAAGGTTTTATATGAATGAATAAAAGCTGATCATTTTAAGCACCCCTGTCAGTGGTAAATAGCTTGCCTCAACATTCTAACTGCTACATCTTCAGGACAGCTTGTTCTGTTGAAAACAACAGACTTATTGGCTGGATCACCAGGTGAAAGTGGAGGAAAGAAAGCCTAAAAAAGAAAACTAATGCAGCCATCACATCTAAGAATTGGTAAGCTGCAATATAATAAATGTTTGCTTTTGTTATTTAACACTGCTAATAATTTGTGATAAACTATGTACAATAATGGGCCCCTCTAAACAGGTGGAAAAGTTATTCAGTAAACTCAGATTTCAAACACAAGTCAGAATTTGTATTATATAAATTTTAAATTGAATGCAGGACAGTCTCTGCTGAGTCTTGCACACACCCTGAATTGTCATTTCTGCCCTGACTTGTACTCATTTAAAAAATACAAGGCAGCAGTGCCAAGCAAGTGACCCCCTGTGGTCAGTGTGCAGTGAAAAAGCTGCTCACACAAAACCCCCAGCAGGACTAAGAAGATTATGGAGATGACTGTGGTAGCGCAAACCTCTACAGGAAGATTAGTTAATTGCCAGGATTGTTTTTAGATAGATCATTAAAGGGGTATTAAACCCAAAACAAAAAATATATAGCAGCTTACAAATCATTAAATGTGTTGGCTGCATTAGTTTTCTCTTTTTAGGCTTTTTTTCCCTCTGTTTTCACCTAGTAATCTGACCAGTAACACACCTCCTGTATTAGAGTGCCCCCACTCTGGATGAAGAAGCACAGGGGGCACCTTTGGACAGCAACATTGTCAATCTTGGGGGAGGGGAGTTAGATGGACTAGCAGATTTAGAAACACTAACAAACTAAAAAACTAACAATTTAGTTACAGCAACATTTGTTTTTCTTTTGGGATAAAGGTTTATATGAATTAACAAAAGCTGATCATTGTAAGCACCCCTGTCAGTGGTAAATAGCTTGTCACAACATTCTAACTGCTAGCTAATAACGGAATCTTCTATTCCTCCTACCAGTCCATCCCCCACAGTTACTTCCTTTTGTACTACCAGCCCCTCCCTATTAGATTGTAAGCTCCAAGGAGCAGGGCCCTCCTAACCCACTTGTATTGAACTGTATTGTTGCTGTATTGTCTCCCTTTATATTGTAAAGCTCTGAGCAAACTGTTGGCGCTATATAAATCCTGTATAATAATAATAATAATAATAATACATAATACTACATCTGCAGGACAGCTTGTTCTGTTGAAAAACAACAGACTTACTGGCTAGATCACCAGGTGAACTTAAAGGAAAGAAAGCCAAAAAAGATAACTAATGCAGTCATCCCATCTAAGAATTGGTAAGCTGCAATATAATAAATGTTTGCTTTTGGGGTTAATATCGCTTTAAGATTGTGATAAATCATGTACAATATTTTGCCCTGGGAACAGGTGGGAATGTTCAGTAAACTCAGATTTCAAAACACAAGTCAGAACATTTATTATAATTAATTAGAAAATTAATACAGTTCAGTCTATGCTGACACACCCTGAGGTGTCATTTCTGCTCTGACAGAAAAAAGAAAAAACAAAACAACAGCGAATAACAGAGCACACACCTATTCATGAGAAGTGCGGCTGCATTAATACAACAATTTAAGAGGCTCTCACAAATACCCATTACCAACTTTTTCTCTTTAAAAAAGACAAATGTATATTTGGCACCAGTTATCCTTTATGACCCCTTTCACACTGGTGCACTTTTGCTGGGCTTTTCCAGGACAAGTGCATGAAAACTATTCCTCATAAAATCCTATGTAACTGTTCACACTGCAGGTGAGTCGAGCTTTGAAAATTCCTGCATGCTGCATCTTTGGTGCAGTTTTTTTTTTTTTTTAACCACTTGCCGCCCAGCCACCGCATATAAACGGTGGCAGGGCGGCACTCGTAGGCAAAAGCACTTTTTAAAACAGGTAGGGGGCACGCGCGAGGCCCCCTACCTGAGACCTGTCCCGCGGGTGTCAGCAGCAGCGGGTGTCAGCCGACGGATCACGGCCGGTTTTTACCGGCCGTTTTCCCGCGATTGACGGTGATCGCTGACACAGAGCAGGGCTGCATTGTTTACACACAGCCCTGTTCTGTGTCAGTTCTCTGACAGCTTGTGAGAAGCTGCAGAGTTTCTCTCCCTCGATCAGCTCCCTCCCCCCGTCCAGTACACACCCCGCCCCCTAGTAAAACACTCCCCTTACACAGCAAATTCTAAAAATGTTAACCCCTTCCTCCACAGTGACAGTACAGTTTCAGTGGTTTTTTTTCACTGATCACTGTATTGGTGTCACTGGGGATGTCAGTGACCCCAAGTCAGTTCCCCCCCCAGTGTCAAATGTGCGCCGCAGTCCCGCAGTCCTGCCATAAGTCGCTGGTCGCCGCCATATGTCGCTGATTGCCGCCAAAAGTCGCTGATTGGCGCCATTATTAGTATAAATAAAAATTAAAAATTCCAGTATCTTTCCCGCCATTTGTAAACGCTATAACTTTCACGTAAACCAATTAATTTACACATATTGGGATTTTTTTTTACCAAAGACATGTCGCAGAATGCATTTTGGCAGAAATTTATGACTAAATTTGATTTTTGCATTTTTTTTTTTACTGGACATGTTTTTATAGCAAAAAGTCCAAAATATTGTTTTTTTTTCCTCAAAATTGTCAGCCTTTTTTTATAGCGCAAAAAATAAAAACCGCACAGGCGATCAAATACCACCGAAAGAAAGCTCAATTTGTGGGGAAAAAAAAAGGATGTAAACTTCATTTATGTACCGTATTGCATGACCGCACAATTGTCCGTTTAAACTAGCGCAGCGCTGTATAGCAGAAAAATGGCGTAAATTGCAGTATTTATGCCATAGTTTGTAGACGCTATAACTTCCACACAAAACAGTCAATATACACTTATTGGGATTTTTTTTTACCAAAAACATGGAGCAGAATACATTTTGTCCTAAATTTATAACCAACTTTGAGTTTACTATATATTTTTTATAGCTGAAAGTAAAAAATATTGTTTTTCTTCAAACTTTTTGGCCTTTTTTTGTTTATAGCTTGAAAAATAAAAAGCGCACAGGTGATCAAATACCACCGAAAGAAAGCTCTATTTGTGTGAAAAAAAGGACGTAAATTTCGTTTGGGTGCAGCATTGCATGACCGCGCAATTATCAGTTGAATTAGTGCAGCGCCGAGTAGCAAAAAGAGGCCATGTCATTAAGGGGGGTAAATCCTCTGGAGGTCAAGTGGTTAAAAGCACATCAAAAAGTCGCCTTCTATTGTAAGTCCATTGGGATGCATCAAAAGTGCATCAGTGTGAAAGGGCCCTGTGAGTATTGGATTAGGTGAGCTGCACTCAGGGGGTAAGGACATCCCTCAAAGGACAGCTTGTATCTAAGGGTCAGTTTTTCTGTAAAGAGTAACTCCACTTTTGGGTGATCAATGTACATTGCAATGATCTTAACCAGGTCCGACTGTGCTATAGCCAAAAGATGGCTACAGCGCGGTCGGCTAGTTCTGTCTGGGAGGGCGTCCATGGACATTCTCCCAGAACCGTGCCTCCGGGGGCACTTCATGCAATCTTTGATCGCTGTGTCCTTCGGACACAGTTGATCACAGGGCTACGGAACGGGCCAGTCACAGCTGCTTTTACCATGTAACCAGCTGTGTCCAATCACAGCTGATCATCGGGTAAATAGGAAACGCTGGTTATTGGCAGTCCTCTTCTCACGCTGACAGCTCATGAGGAGAGGAGAGCCAGTAAGCGGCATTTTGCAGGGGGACATCTACACTGATCATCAGGGCACTGATCATCAGTGTCTTGGTGATCAGTGTAGCCCCATCAGTGCAGCCAATAGTGCCCATCTGTGCTGGCAATCAGAACCCATCAGTTAATCAGTGCCACCTAACAGTGCCCATCAGTGCTGCCTATCAATGCCCATTAGTGCCGCCTAACAGTGCCCATCAGTGCCGCCTAACAGTGCCCATCAGTGACTCATCATCAGTGAAGGAGAAAAGTTACTTTACAAAACTTTATAGCAAAAAAACGAAGAAAAACTTTTTTTTTTTCCCCTAAAATTTTGGGTCTTTTTTAGTTTGGTTTGCAAAATATAAAAAACCCAGTGGTCATCAAATACCACCAAAACAAAGCTCTATTTGTCTCAAAAAAATTATAAAAATTTAGTTTGGGTACAGTGTTGCATAACCGCGCAATTTTCATTCAAAATATGAGAGCGCTGAAAGCTGGAAATTGGTCTGGGAAGGAAGGGGGTAAAAGCACCTGGTAGGCAAATGGTTAAATTTTGTTGCAGATTCCTACCTTTTTTATTCGGAAGGAATACCTGTTTGCTTGTCTGTGTCCATGTGCAGAGTGAATCTGTAGGAGAGTGACTTTATAATTCTCAACCAGCTGCTGCATCTTCAGGACTCTAATGAGGAAAGTGGCAGGGCCTGCATCCCTTTAGATGTGATTTTTCTTTGGGAGTATCTCACCAAAAATGACAATTTTTGTTGCAGGGGATGCTCAAAATCAGCCAATCACACAACAGGAAATGACATCTGAGGGGCGTTCTGTACACAATTTGTATACAGAATGTCTCCAGGTTGCCATATTGCTGTGCATTTTACAGCCCTGCAGATTTAAAAAGGAAAGGTAATTCTTAATAGCATTCAATTACAATATGGCTTGTGTCGCAAATGTATGTGCTATATCATTTTTATTTTTTTTTGCTCAATTTTATTTTCCACAAAAGTGGAGTTACCCTTTAAGGAAAAGTATTCGTCTCCAGTTTCATGTTATAATAATTGCAGCATGAAATGCTAAAAACATCACAAGAAAGAGGAATATAACTTAGCCAATGTAGAAGTAAAATAGGCCACTGTTACATTACCTCCATACTTAATGCATTTTTTTTTTCTCTGGCCGCTTCATTAATATTGTAGTGATATTGTCTTTATAGAACACTTGAATATTTTTATATTTTGATTGGCTGTTTCTTGCATTTTTCGAAATTTCTGAAGATACCGCATTTGGTAAAAGATGGACATCCTTCTGTGTCTTGTCCTGCAATGGAGCACAAATAGTAATATTGCAGAATGAATGCAACAGTTTTTGTTTTTCAGATTTTATATCAGAGAGAAAAAAATGACTTATTTCCTTTACTTCTGCTCGAGGGGAAAAAAGCATTAGAAAATGATATCTGGTCAATGCATATCTGTATTATATACGGTTTTAAGATTTGTATGAACAATCAGAAAGGGGCTTTTTCCTGCCCAGTACTGAAGCCTTGACTGGATAGAATGATCCTGTTCTGTGCCATAGATGCAAAGCTAATCAGGTTCCATATGGCACATTTATAACAATACTTGCTTTGTGCAGAATGAATGTCTCAAACATTTTCTCAGCTGTCATTAATAAAACTCATTGTACATAATGTGTTTACAGTATTTCCTGTGACTGTTTGCTCAATCTAGTATCCAAAATTAGGTATTTTCCTGCAATACCACATTATAGTCACTAGATGGAGCTGAAGGCCATAGGAGATATACATATTAGGCACATCTAGGCCTATAGGTGAATGCTTAAAACCTTTGCTCAGCTATTTTTTTTAATAGACCCCTATGTGTTACAGCTTATGGTGAAATAAGCAAACATATGTTAATAATATTGCAAATTTCGTCAAATACTAGCATGTAAAGTATATTTTTTTTAAATCACAAAACAAAAAAAAAATTTAGGAGTGCAAGACGTTTTGGTTTCATAAAATAGTAAAAATGAACTTACCAAGGTTTTTATAGAAGCTTTAGGCTTATTGTTGGATTGCATGTTATTGGCGTGATCGGGACAATAACTGTGAAATAGCCTGTAATACATGAAAGAAGAGATAAAGCTCAGATTTCAAAGACATTGAACACAGGTCATAGTTTGCAGGAATCTGTAATGTAATGTTTAACAGAAATGACAACACATCTATTTAGTCTCTTTCTCTAGTGTGTGAATATCGCTGATATGCTGCATGTGTGAGCGACACACATTTAGAAATTAGAATTTCTGAATTAATTTTGAAAATGTATTCTATATTACAGGTATTTATACAGCACTAAGATCTGTTTTACACAGGCTTCAGTTTGTATAATTAGCAGTATGAACAGCAAGCTTTGACAAGGCATTTGCGGAGCTTTCAACAAGCGTTGTTGAAGCTTTCAAAGTACCATTCATCTCCAGTATGTAAATGCTGACCACAGATCCTAATGGAAGTGTTGAATGCCACTTTAGGCAAGCTGCTAGTAGGCTTCAGCAGGCTTTCAAGAAGTGCCAAAGCCTGCTAGCAGCTTTACTTATAGTGCCAATCAATACTCCCATTAGGATCAGTGTACAACATTTACATACTGGAATTGAATGGTACTTTAAAAGCTTCAGAAAAGCTTGCTGAATGCTCTGCAGATGCTTTATAAAAGCTTGCTGTTCACACTGTTATTATACAAGCTGAAGCCCGTGTGAAACAGGCCTAACAATGTTGGCAGCACTGTACATTCATATCAGTGCCTGCCCCCAAGGAGCATACTGAAGGGAAATGTATGTCTTTTAGGTCTGTCATTTTGTTTCCCCCCCCACTCCATTTTATATTTTGTACTAACATGTTGAATAATTGTTTTGTATTATACCCGGAATGAGTTAATGAAAATATGCTGTGTCAGTTATGTGTTACAGAACTGTACTCACAATATTCTTCTTCTAGCTTAGCCTTGGTAGAGGAGATAGTATCCAATTATTTCTTTGTACTAACAGCACCTGTTTCTGTTATGATATAATTAAAAGTCAAATACTTCTGTCCCATGGGAAAATAACTGTTTAATACTTGTAACTGATTTCAAGGCCTGAGAAAGTCATGTTTATAGCCTTGACAAGTATCTAGCGAGATTCTATTGTATGTAGTAGATAAGTGTTTTAAAACAATTTAGAAACTTTTATTCCTGGGAAAGTGAAACTCCGCTTCTCATCACTTTTCAGAATTGACGTCAATGTTTGTCTTTTTGTATTCAGCCAATCAATTACTGACAACTCAGCTTTTTGATACTCTGTGCCCCCCACCTTTCTTTTTTCTGTTATATTAATTTTCTTGCCGCTAATAAACTTGAGAGATTGATTTCACCTATTACTGTGTGTATGTTGTCTTTTCTGAGATGAAGTCAATCTTCCCGATGCGTCGTACCTTCAACAGCCTGCTAAAGACTGATAGCCAGGGGCTATTGACAACCTTTCGCATAAAACCTAAAGTCCCTATTTCAAATGTCTACATACACATACTAGGGCCAATTTAGACAGGAGCCAAACCTACTAGCATGTCTTTGAAGTGTGGGAGGAAATTTGAAGGAGAAATCCAAACTGGGGTGATTATTTCCTTAGACACAATACGGCATAAACTGCAGAGGAATGGCATACATGGGTGTCATCCACGAAGGAAACCTCTCCTAAATCCCATGCACAAAAAAAACAGCCTAGAATTTGCCAGGGCCCATGCCGAAAAAGAAGACTACGGGGACTCTGTACTCTGGAGTGATGAGACCAAGATAAATGTTTTTGGAACTGATGGCTTCAAAACTGTATGGAGTCACAAAGGTGAGGAGTACAAAGAAAAATGCATGGTGCCTACAGTGAAACATGGTGGTGGCAGTGTCCTTTCTGTGGGGCTGCATGAATGCTGCTGGTGTCAGGGAGCGGCGTTTCATTGTTGAGATCATGAATTCACAGATGTACTACTCTATATTAAAAGAGAAGAGGTTACTTTCACTCCGTGCCTTGGTTGTCATGCACTTTTCCAACATGACAATGATCCAAAACACTCATCTAAGGCCACTGTTGCATTTCTGAAGAAGAACAGGGTGAACCTTCGGACCACCTATGGGGAATTCTGAAGAGACAAGTTGAGCATCACTCTTCATCCAGCATCTAGGCTCTAAAAGAGGTTGTTCTTGAAGAATGGAAAAAGATAGATGTTGCAATATGTTGCCAACTCATTTGTACCACGACTTAGTGTTGCCCTTACAAATCATGTAGGCCATACAAAATACTAGATGTAGTAGTGTTTGTTGTGGGGTATATTCATTTTTGCATCAACTAATTTGACTAAAACTGAAGATTTTATAATCCGAGTTACATTACTAACCTTACTTTATGCAGTGAGCTAAACAAATGTTCTATAAAAACTCAGTTTTGTCAAAATTGTGGAAATTGTTCTTGTGTTCAATAAGATATTGATCTTAGTTTTTAAAAGGGGTGTACTCATTTATGCCGAGCACTGTGTATATATTTACACAAACACACAGCTCAAAAAAATTAAAGGGACACTTTGAAAACTCATCAGATCTCAGTGTGGAAAAATATCATGCTGGATATCTATACTGATATGGATCGGGTAATGTGTTAGGAACGTAAGGATGCCCCATCATTTGATGGAAATGAAAATTATCAACCTACAGAGGACTGAATTCAAAACACACCCTGAAAATCAAAGTGAAAAAGTTATTCAGCAGGCTAGTCCATTTTGCTGACATTTCATTGCAGCAACTCAAAATGGTACTCAGTAGTTTGTATGGCCCCCGTGTGCTTGTATGCATGCCTGACAACGTCAATTCCTTCAGCCTCCAGAAGCTGCCTGCATACTCTCACCACATGAGGCCGGGCATTGTCGTGCACCAGGAGAAACCCAGGACCCACTGCACCAGCATAGGGTCTGGCAATGGGTCCAAGGATTTCATCCCGATACCGAATGGCAGTCAGAGTGCCATTGTCTAGCCTATAAAGGTCTGTGCCTCCCTCCATGGATATGCCTTCCCAGACCATCACTGACCCACCACCAAAACAGTCATGTTGAACGATGTTACAGGCAGCATAACGTTCTCCACGGCTTTTCCAGACCCTTTCACGTCTGTCACATGTGCTCAGGGTGAACCTGTTCTCATCTGTGAAAAGCACAGGGCACCAGTGGCAGACCTACCAATTCTAGTGTTCAATGGAAAAAGCCAATCGAGCTCTATGGTGCAGGGCAGTGAGCACAGGGCCCACTACATGACGTTGGGCTCTCAAGCCACCCTCATGAAGTCTGTTTCTGATTGTTTTGTCAGAGGCATTCACACCAGTGGCCTGCTGGTGTCACGGTGTGAGGTCAGGTTCAGAGACCAATTGCTACAGCAGTGTAAGGCTTACCTGAAACCAGCAGGATAGGTACACCAGCAGGTCACCCTGGGAATGACACAGGCTCACCTGAGGTGCGGGGTCTAAGTATTCACCGGTCTTCACCAGAGCTTCTAATGGTGGAGATGGATTTGGCTGCGTGTGAATACCAGGTCGCAGTCTCAGGATCACCCCACTAGGGAAAGGGCAAGCTGGAAACCAATAGCGGATCGAACAGTTCAGGGATAAGACAAAAGCGGAGTCAGTCACAAGCAAAAGGTCGGTCACAAACGATATAGACAGCAACAGTAAGGATGAGCGGGATATTGGCTGGAAGGCACAATAATCTGACAAGGAGGAAGTGCATGGACATGGCTTTTATGAGGAAGTTCATGGGAGGAGCAAGGAGTTCAAGGTTCATCAGAAAACAGGGCACAAGGCAGGATTGTCCAATAGATCAGGCAGAGTGTTGTCCAGCATCCAAGGTAGCTCAGTGAGAAGAGTTACTGCATGACAAAATAGAAGTCCCAGGTTCAAGTCCAGGCCCTGACAGCCGGAGGTCATTTTGTAGGGCTCTGGCAGTGCTCATCCTGTTCCTCCTTGCACAAAGGAGCAGATACCAGTCCTGCTGGTGAGTCAAGGACCTTCTATGGCCCTGCCCAGCTCTCTTAGAGTAACTGCCTGTCTCCTGAAATCTCCTTCATGCTCTTGAGACTGTACTGGGAGACACAGAAAACCTTCTGGCAATGGCAAGCATTGATGTACCATCCTGGAGGAGTTGGACTGCCTGTGCAACCTCTGTAGGGTCCAGGTATCGCCTCATGCTACCAGTAGTGACAATGACCACTTCTTTGGGGGTGTTTTTCTGCTAAGGGGACAGGACAACTGCACCGCATCAATGGGATGATGGACGGGGCAATGTACCGTCAAATCTTGGGTGAGAACCTTTTTCCCTCAGCCAGGGCATTGAAAATGGGTCGTGTCTGGGTGTTCCAGCATGACAATGACCCAAAACACACAGCCAAGGCAACAAAGGAGTGGCTCAAGAAGAAGCACATTAAGGTCCTGCAGTGGCCTAGCCAGTCTCCAGACCTTAATCCAATTGAAAGGGAGCTGAAAGTTCGAGTTGCCAAACATCAGCCACCAAACCTAATGACTTGGAGAGGATCTGCCAAGAGGAGTAGGACAAAAAAATCCCTCCTGAAATATGTGCAAACCTGGTGGCCAACTACAGGAAACATCTGACCTCTGTGATTGCCAACAAGGGATTTGCCACAAAGTACTAAGGGGATCAAATACTTATTTCCCTCATGAACATGCAATATCAGTGCATAATTTGTTAGACATGTATTTCTTTTGAATTTTTGTTGCTATTCTGTCTCTCAGTGTTACAATACACCTACCATTCAAATTTTAAACTGATTATTTCTTTGTGAGTGGGCAAACATTCAAAATCAGCAGGTGATTAAATACTTATTTCCTTCTCTGTATATCTATATATACACACACACACTACACACACACTATATTGCCAAAAGTATTGGGATGCCTGCCTTTATACGCACATGAACTTTAATGGCATCCCAGTCTTAGTCCATAGGGTTCAATATTGAGTTGGCCTACCCTTTGAAGTTTCAACTCTTCTGGGAAGG